ATACTCTTAAGTGAAATGAATAGGGAACACATGTGTTAATACCAAATAGTTTCTCTGGTGTGAGAAACTGAAAGTGTAAATAAGGATTAAAATGAATAATTGATAATGTGAAATAGGAAGAAAAGGTCCAAAGGGGTAGGGGAAGTAGGAGGGGTAGGGGAAAGGAATGAAGGGAAAGGAAAAAATATGAGAAAAAAATAGAAACAAAGCCTTTGTAAATAGGGAGGGGTGGAGGGGGTGAAGGGAGGGCAGGGGAACAGGGCAAAAATAAGAACCAAAATACATCATGTAAAGGTACAAGTTCCCAATGATGAATGTAATGTATTGTATACCTAAAATGTACCAATAAAAGAATTTAAGAGGAAAAAAAAGTTTAACAAAAACAAAACATTTTAAACAGTCCTATGGTACCAGCTTTTAGCTAATCATCTAGAATTTACAATTCCATTTGGAAATTGTTTTCATTGATAAATCAGCACTGCAGGCAATTATACATAAGGGTCTCTGTCCATCAGAGAGAGCACTGAGGAGTTATGTGAAAGTAGTCTTTACAAATCAATTCTTTTCAAGTTTATTTTTACTTTAGTTTACAGGAGCTCTAGTGTGTCTTGTAAATTCATTATTGTTGCTTTGTACTTATTCTGTATATATCATGGGCACCCCAAAATCTATATTTAAAGCAGTATTTAGTTAAAATTATATCAGGCTGGGGATTTAGCTCAGTGGTTCCGCTGCCTGCCTCACAAGCACAAGGTCCTGAGTTCGATCCCCAGTACCAAAAATAAAAAGTAAAAATAAAATAAAATTATGTTATTAAAGTATGATTCACATTCAAAATGCTGTATATATTATATTTAATGCACTGTATATAACTTGATCAGTTTGGGTATAAGTATGTATCAGTGAAACCATCACCACAAGCAATTCCATAAATATGCCCATCATCTCTAAGTTTCCTGCTGCCTATTTCATTATTTTTAAAAATTTGAAAATAAGAACATTTTGTTAGCAAAAAAGTTTCAGCATACTATATAAATTTCAGTATAGTATTATTAATGATAAGCTTTATAAAATACAGTAAATAGACCTCTGGAACTCATTTTATGTAACTAAAGCTCTGTGCTCTTTGACCAATACTCCCCATTTTGCTGTCTTTCAGTTCCCAATAACCACCATGTTTCTCTGCTCCTGCAAAGTAGTGAGAACAGTCTTTAGATTCAGCCTCTGAGAAACACATATGCCAATGCATTTTTAATCACTGATGATGTATGATTAAAGCAGGGAGAGGAAAGAAAAAATCAAGAAGAGGGTGCAGGTGCCTGTAATTCAAAGAGGATTTAACTGTTCTCTAATTCTCTGTGAAAAGCATTCAGAAAGAAGACTGATAGGAAAAGTAAATATTCACTACACTTTGTGCTTCATCAGTGAGTCCGGAGCCTAACTGACTCAGAAGGTCCACCAAAGAGCTGAGATCATAGCTAGAGTGACACGGGGCTCCTTCTCGACTCCCTTAAGAAGAGCATGCCTTGTTTCCTGTTTCTAACCAGGGATGTTTTGAGTATGTGTACTCAAACTCTAGTCATAGCTCCTGGATCAAAGGAATTTAGGTTTGAAGACACTTAACGGCTCAGCGTTTCAGCTTTCATTTGTTTTCTTTTAACCTGGACATTTCTCTGAAGTATATCATCTTAAAAGTTTACAGTATAAGGGAGATATGGTTAAAGACATTTTTAGAATCATCTTTAACAACTATATTGTTTGCAAGTCTTAACTCTAAAAGAGAACACTTTATTCCAAAGTATATTATTCCCAATTCAGGGGCACAAACTATTCTAATTATATCATTGAAAGGTTGATTCTCTAGAAATACTAGAAATATTATGACATTCCAATACATATGGCAGAATACATGTTTTGTTTTGTCAATGCTCCACTTCAAAAAAAGTTTTTCACTTCTTAAAGAACAAATAATAGATTTTGTTAATGTTTCTAAAACCATTTCTCATTTTTCAAAAATTCATGAGTATCTGAGTACTATCATTTATATCAGAAAGAATTTGTGATTGACAGAACCACATTATTTTTACTGAATCCTAGGACTAACTGCTCATTATGTATATATTTACTGATTGATTTCTATTTTTCCTTCTAAAGACCAGGCAAGGGGAAAGACTCATCCCTCAATCAAGCATATGATAAGAGTTAGGTGCCAGGAGAAACGAGCCAAAGGTTTGCTTTCTGCCACCGTTCCTTTCATTTATCATTCCATTCTGGTATCACCCTTTCTCACTAACATTCTGCCATGACCCTTCCACAATGTTTTATTTAATCTAAAAATAAGTTAAATTATTGTCAGATTCATGAAGAATAAGGCAAATAATTGCAGAGTTGGGTTAAAGATGTTCGTTTCAATTCAACCATTAAATTCAGATCTTAGTGCTTAGCAAGTAATTACAATAAGAACTCAGATGATTAGGGATTTCATTAGATGTCAAAGGCAAGAGAGTTTTACTGCATTGGCCAAGTGCAGAAATCATGCCAGTGTTTTGTTTAAATACCTCAGCCTTGACACAACACACAGACACACACATACGCAGGCAGGCAACCCTACCTTCTCCTCTGATAGTCAGCCTCGTTGCTCCATTTACACTACCATATTTAGGTATTACTTCTGTGACTTTGGGTATTAGTTTAGAGCCATCTGAAAGACATGAAAGTATAACACAGGTAGAATCACAGAGTTCTTCATTTCGAGCACCACATTCTGTACCCTATGTCAGACGTAGAATTCAAAGTAAAATACAGCCAGATTTTATTTTGGGCTCTACTGACCATTGACTTGACAGGGATTTAAGTCATTAACTTAGTTACTCCTCTTTGGTTTTGTGCAAAGAGCATAATGCATAATCATTTTTGTCATTCTTACCTATCATAAGATGCTTAGTAAACTCACAATTTTATGTTATGCTCTGTTGACTTTAGTTATGCTTAGTTATGTTGACATAGTTATGCTTAGCCAACCACATAGCAGTAGACAACAATGACAGGGAGAAATAGATCGTTATAAAATCATCTAATGCTAAGTAGGCTGAACAAATAGTCCTGGTACAGAGAGGAATGATATGTTTTAAGAAGAAATTGTTTGTGGCTGAGAGTACAACAAAGATAACTTCTGGGCTATTTCTAGTGTGCTCATGGTGTTGAATTCTGAGTGTCAAAGTCACTAATTCACTCAAACTTGGTTAGCTTCCTGGGGACATAGATTGTATATCAGTTTAACTTTCCAAAAGTTTAGTTTAAACAGTACAAAGTAATTGGAGGGAACACAGGGCCAGGGGAGACTCAGAAGGGACATTTCACTCACACTGTGTGGCCACACCAGTTTATAGAAAGAAGGATCCCTCACAGCATCTTGGAGAACAAATGAGAATTACTTAGCCTGAACCTCCATGAAGAGACACGAAGAGAATTCTGGACATACAAACACGGGGTGCTCATGTAAACACGGGGTGAGAAGGAGCTGTCTCTTTGAAGTAATTCTTTAAAACAGCTCAGGGGCCAGGGGTCTTTATTTTCTGATTAAACAGATCTGGTAATGTAAAATATAAAACAATTTTTCTGAGTAGGTAGAATTTAAGTGAGGGAAATGAAAATGAATTGCATGAAATGTATGTGTGAGAAAAGATGAAGGCAGTTAGGACAGAGCAATTCATTCCTACCTGAAATACGTGAAGTGTGGACTTCACCAATAACAGCAAAAGCTCCCCCACACATGGAGCAGTCCCAGCCCCCCGCCCCCAACCCCATGCCTCTGTGCTTAGGGTCCAACTTGGCCAAGAATTCGGAGACGTTCCTGCGCCAGGTACCTTGATAACTCCAGGTTCCAGGCAGGCAGGATCAGGCAGCCCCGGGTGGGAGCTGGATCCTATCTCCAGATGGGGCTGAGTCTCGCCGATCTCAAATCCATCCTCCCTTATCTCCTCAGACAACTCCAATTTCTTATCTTCTCAGTCTCCTCCCAGCTCTCTCCTGGGTATTACTTTGAAGACACAGAGCACCTGCCCCCTGCAAGTGACTGACACCCACCACAGAGTTCCTGTCCTAGTGGGGACACTGCCCTCTCTTCAGTGCAGAAAAGACTCCCCCTCGCCCCGGGAAAGGAAGGGAGAGGGAAGGGGGAGAATTCAGGCTGTGTCTGTCCACACTTCCCGTCCTCCTCAGCCTAACTGCAGTCTCTTTCCAACTGTGTCACTTTGAAGGAAGGCAGGGAGGCTCCACAGTTCAAACAGCAACATTTGTGCATTTGTGAATTAAAAGGAATCTCTCTCTCCCTCCCCCCACTTCTCTCTCCCTCTCTCCGTCGTCTCTGCCAGTCTTGCAGGTTCCGGGTCCCCAAGATCGCCCTAGAATCGAGCTCACAGCCTCTGCCCAGGGCAGGTGCCCGGTGGCCCCACCTCTCTTGCGACCCAGGGAGCAGGGCAGTGTCTACGCGGACCTCTCCTTATGTGCAGCCTTAACGCCCCGAGTGGTTACCTGTGTGAGAATCCGCAGCGGAGAGGAGAAGCCCCCAGAGACCCCAGGCCCCCACGAGCCACAGGTGTCCCATCGCAAAGCCGGCGCTGCAGAGTGCGCAAGCCTCTCCAGGTGGAGCCGGGCTGGGGACCGCTGGGCTGGCCCTGAGCGCAGCGAATTGGCCAGCAGGCTGCCCCGCCCCTCCCCGCCCCCAGGACAGGCACGGGAAAATCAGGCCGCGCATCTGTGATCATCCATCAGCCACACTCAGATCCCTGGTGCTGACAACCCTGCCCCACCATGGGGTCAGGGCTCTAATCCCTTTGGCCAGAAGGGTCAAGGGTCAAGTTCTCCGTGGGTCCCGCTTGCTTTTCTTATCCCCCCGTTATTTTCTTTTAAATTCTGAGCCTGCATACTTTCATTTTCCTATCTGCCTTGGTCATTAATCCTCCCCAAGTGGATTAATGGTGAAACCACTAAATACACAAATCCCACATATTTCCCCCTTTCATATTCCTATAAGATCATGCTACCGCTTCCATTGATAATCTTAATGCTATTTATTAATATCTCAGCATGCCCTACACACTGTGCTCACTGCACAGTAGACATAATTCACAATGATCCCAGTAGGACTGCTGTAAGTATTTATCCCCATTGCTCCAAGCAGTACATGAGACGCAGTGACATCAGCATCTTGCCCAGGGCCACAGGCTTGGTGTAGAGGAGGACCCAAGCAGGACTCCAGAGCCAGCATGTCCAAAATCAGCAGGCTCCTGGCAAGAGCTCACTGTTGGAGCAGAGGAAGAAAGGCCCTGCAGCCCCGTGGCTGAGGGTGCCAGGCAGCAAAGAATTGAGAACCGGAACTCAGGGAGAGCCCAGTTCCTGCTAGGTGCTGAATGCTCCCCCAGAGTTTCCAACTGTCCCTGGTCTTCACCTCCTAACCTCCTGTCCCCTCCTCCTGCTTTAACAGGAGGAGTGCAGACCCAGTATTAAGGGACACAGAGTAGAAGTGTCCATTCTGTGAAGCAAAAAAAGTGCATGGGGAGTTATTTCGTGTTGAAGTGTCATGATGTCTAGAATTCGCATAGTTTGATCAATGAAAAATATGTGAAATAAAATATGGAGAATTTTAATTTTAGAATTTAGGGGTAGGTATGATACTTTCCACTTTTCTGTATTTTTGAAAATTTTCAGAAATAGGAAATTTTAAATTCTCTTTGTTCCTTTCCTTTTTTTTTTTTTTGGTTGTTGCTATTATCTTTCAGGAAGCCTTTTTCTTCCATGACTTGCTCCATCCTCTGCTTGTGCACTTTTTCAAAATTCTTTCCTTCTCAATTTATTGTTCAACAATTTCCCCCGTTGTATCGCTTCTAATCAGTTCCCTTCCCCTTTCCCTTCTTTTCCTAGAAATAAATGCAGTATTTATATTTAAAATCTGAAAGCAAATCAAAAAGTCTTTATCCTTTAAAAAATTATAGCAAAGTCCCAAGTTTGTTTTTAAATTTCTTGAGTGAGCTTCCTACTTTAGTGAACTCCTTGCTCAAAGTCACTACCCATCTTTCTCATCAACTCTGTGGGCCATCTGTATTCCAGGCTCTGTTCTGAGGACTTCCTAGAGGATGGGGAGAGGTAGAGGTTGGTGGTAGAGCTGACAGAAAAAGAGGCCATCCAGCTAACTTTGCACCACATAAGAAAATAAACAAATCAATTTGTATTGAAGATAAATGCAAATCTCTAAGTACAAATACATCTTGTGCAATGATCAGGATATATATACTAAAATTATTCATAGTTTTATCTATAATTCAAATTCAATCCAGCTTTCTGTTTTTGTATTTACTAAATCTGACAACTCTAGTTGAGGAGGAAGAGAGAAAAATAGATGATAGGCTTCCAAAATTAGTTAAGAAAAAAAATTCCTTGTTCATGAGGAGTTTATATCTAGTTGGGGTTAAAAACTGTGTACAGGCCAGGCATGGTGGTGCACCTGTAGTTCCACCACTTATCCTATTAAAAAGCTTTTGCACAGCAAAGGAAATTACCAACAGAGTAAAGAGACAACCTGCAGAGTGAGAAAAAATTGTAGCCAGTTGTCCCTCAAAGAACTAAGTCTAGAACATAAAAAGAATTGAAAAACATCAGAAGTCCCCAAATTTAAAGACCCAATCCCAAAATGAGCATCTGAAACGAATCTCAGATGAAGAAGTATAAATGGCAAATAAACATATGAAAAAATGTTCAACATCACTGGTCATTCAAGAGATGCGAATGAAAACAATGCTGAGATTCTACCTCCTCCAGAAAGAATGACTTTTATCAAGAAATCAACTAATAACAAGTGCTGACAGGGATGTGGGGAAAAAGGAACCCATCTCCACTGCTGGTGGGAATGTAGACTGGTGCAACCACTGGGGAAATCAGCATGGAGATTCCTAAAAAAAATAGGACGAGAGGTCCCATTTGACCCAGCTATTCTCCTGCTAGGTATCTTCCCAAAAGAATTGAAAGGATTATACCACAACCATATATGCACATTCATGTTTATAGAGACACAGTTTGTAATAGCTAAATCTTGGAAACAAGCCATCAATTGATGAATGGATAAAAAAGATGTGGGTTTTTTTTTTATAAACAATGGAGTATTACTTGGCCATAAAGAAGGGTAAGCTTGAGATATGTATAGCTAAATGAATCACCATGAGATATACTCAAGTGAAATAAATCAGACACATGTAAATATCACATTATCTCTCCGGTGTGAGAAACTGAAAGGCCAAATAAAGACCAAATGTATAATAGATACTGTGAAACAGAAATTGTTCAAAAGGTAAGGGGAACTAGGGAGAGTGTAGGGGGAAAAGAAGGAAGAGAAAAGAAAAACATGAGAAAAGGAGGAAGAATGGAAACAAAGCTTTTGTAAATAAGGAAGGGAAGATGGGTTGAAGGGAGGGAAGCAGTTTGGGGAAAAAGGAATCAAGATATACCATGTTCAGGTACAAATTCCTATGATTAATGCAATCATTATATATATCTAAATTATATCAATACAATTATTAGAAAAAAATTGCATGCAATGTGGGTAATTATATTCATCTCATAAGTTTTGGCAAACTGACTAATTTACCACTCTACTGAAAACAGTTTCCCTACAAAGGCCAATGACCTTACTTATCTTGGAACTCTGTCCCACATGATATGGCCACCTATTTTTTTTTTTTCAGGGATTGAACACAGGGCCTTCTCACTGAGCTTCAGCTCCAGCCATTGTTCATTTTTATTTTTTACTTTGAAGCAGGTCTCCTGAAGTTGCTAGCATTGTTCCTGAAATTCCACTTCTCTGAATAGTCTTAGGTCTCTTTACACCTCTCTAATTACTTCTATTTCATAGTATTCTCTTCCATCTTCTTCCTTAAAGTTGATATTCCAGCAAGGTTTTTTTTATTCTTTCCTTTTTTTAATCTAAAAATAGGCCAATTAGCAGAAAATCAGGTAGTTGAATACCAATTTTCCAATAATTATTTACCAGATTTACTAAATTTAAAGATGGTATGTTAAGTAGCAATACTTAGCAACTTTACAAAGAATAATAAGTTAATATTAACAAAAATGCTCAATTTAAGTTATTATCTATGATATATATGTATGTTTCACTATTACTTACCAAAACAAAATTTTATGAAGGGATTTTTATATGGAATTGTTTGGGCTCATTTTAATTTCCTTCTGAAGATTTCAAGTTAAAATTCACCTAAATTAAATTTCGGGTGATGCACAAAAATTTAATGCTTTTGAATTTACACATTGAAATGGAGATGAAGAATAAGTTAAATGATATAAAAATGATATTAAAATGATTTTAATATTAAAAAGTTTTAACTGTCATTTCAAAACACTGTAAAAAGTGAAAAAACTGGTACTATGATATGTACTGAGTTTGTGATTTCTAATGAGGAGCCATTGAATTAAGCAGGCTTTCTTTCTTTTTTTTTTTGGTCGAGACAGGGTTTCACTTTGTTGTTCAGGCTGGCCTTGAACTCACTATGTAGCCCTGGCTGGCCTCAAACTCACAGTGATTCTCCTTAAGCAGGCTTTCTTATAGAAGAATCAATATAGTTTATTAAAAAAGAGGAAAACTGTTCTAAGTTTTAGATATACCACTGAAGTGATTAAGAACATACTTATCTTGATTTTCCTTCTGCCAAACTTTAATATTTTTAATATTCCATCATCAATTTTAAGAAAGTATATTAACTCACCGGGCATGGTGGTACATGCCTGTAATTCCAGCACTTGGGAGGCTGAAGCAGGAGGATCACTGTGAGTTCGAAGCCAGCCTGAGCTAATACTGAGTTCAAGACCAACCTAAACTACCTTGTCTCAAAAAACAACAACAACATCACAAACACCACCAACAATAAAACAGAAAGTATATCAACTAAAAAATGGCACACAATATTCAGTATGTATTTTGGTTACTTCTAGTGTGCCCTATTTTATTTTTCTTATTTTTTTTATTAAATTCTTTTATTGGTACATTGTAGGTATACAACACAATTACATTTCTCATTGGGAATTGTACCTTTACAT